GCCTGTCCTAAATCATGTATGTGAGTTTCTGGTTTTGTTTAGTTTTTGTAACAACTGAGAAACAGCAATAATAAAAATGGAATATGCCATGTCAGTTCTTCACCTGTCCCCTCAGCACTGCTGTAGCCACACAGAACATGCAAGGGAGAAGGTGGAAGAAAAGAATTCTTACAGAAACAAGACGTAAGAGGGACGAAGAGAAGGTAACGAGTGAAACAAGGGAAGGTAACGAGTGAAAGAAGAGAAGGTAACAAGTGAAAGAAGGGAAGGTAACGAGTCAATGAGGTGACAGGCAGAAAAAGAGTTGATGAATGTCTCTCACTCCAAATTACCGTTGTGGAAGAATGGGTTGAACCTGCGCTTAAAAATTTAAAAAGTTGACCAGACTTGGTGGCTCATGCCTGTAATCCCAGCAATTTGGGAGGCTGAGGCAGGAGGATCACCTGAGGTCAGGGATTCAAGACCAGCCTGACCAACAAAGTGAAACCCCGTCTTTACTGGAGGTTAGGTGAAGTCCAAAAACACCTGAGGGGTTTTCTCGTGTTTTTGAGTGTCACTGGGTCCCAGTGGCGGAGGGCAAGGAGGGTCTATGGCAGGAGGTAGCCCTATCACACTGGGCAGTCACCTGGTCCCCTGGGCAGGGTGCTCACGGCCTTATTGTGGAAACATGGAAGTATTAGGATAATACAGTTTTAAAATTTACCATACATATGGACATCACACACACCCTCTCAATCTTGTGATTTTCAAATAAATTATTCTTGCAGGACTCAACAGCCATGAAGCGGCCTTCCCGGAGTGGCTCTGGTTGGAGTGGCACCCAGCCTCTGCTGCCCGCTGTCAGGGCTGATACAATGCACAGGTAAATAGCCATGATAAAAGGAACAGCAGGAGAGAGAGAAGCGGAGTGTGGCAAGACGCCCTTCAATTTTCCACTTTTTTGTGGAGAGGTCAGAGGTCCACCCTGCATGATTAAAACTTTAATTAAATATACTTGAATTCTAGTTTAAAAATGTAGCTTCACTCTCCATTGGACACTTTAAGTTTTCCAATAAGATGATAAATCTCAGTTGCCATAGAAATTGTACTCCGGCTGGGCGCGGTGGCTCAAGACTGTAATCCCAGCACTTTGGGAGGCCAAGGCGGGTGGATCACGAGTTCAAGAGATCGAGACCATCCTGGTCAACATGGTGAAACCCCGTCTTTACTAAAAATACAAAAAATTAGCTGGGTATAGTGACGTGTGCCTATAATCCCAGCTACTCAGGAGGCTGAGGCAGGAGAATTGCCTGAACCCAGGAGGCAGAGGTTGCGGTGAGCCGAGATCACGCCATTGCACTCCAGCCTGGGTAACAAGAGCGAAACTCCGTCTCAAAAAAGAAAAAAGAAATTGTACTCCCTGAAATGTCGTTAAAAGTAGATTTTCGTTATCTGGCAAAACTCATCAGGTGGATCACTGTTGATAACGATGGGGAGAGTCCTTGTGAGATGAAGTAAGAAACAAGGAAACGCATTCATTGAGACTCGGGATGCCACTGCTGCTGCTTGTTCTGCAGGCATGCTCTCTCTCATTCCTTCACCAAAATCACAGGTGAGTATTACCGCCCATTTGATGGTTGAAGAAACTGAAACACAGAGACAAAATATTTTGTACAAGATCACAGAGCTGAGAATGTGGGAAGCACCAAAGTCTGCAGCTTTCAAGCCTTTGAACCCAGCATCACATTCTCTCTCCAATAGTCTAGAAAGGAAGGCGTGATTTATCTTCCAAAACAGAGCTTCCAAAGATTAAACACTGTTTACTGAGAGTTGATAGGATTCTACAGAACAATAACATCTCTAAAGCACATTAAATTGAGTTGTAAAAATATTAAATGTGCTCAGTGCTGTAACTTGGTTCCCTAATGACTGGGAAATGTGACATCATGGATTGACAATGTCTGTGTGCAGGCGATTTGGCTTCAATCGAAGGGAGTTGCAAGAGAAAGGGATACTGGAAATTGAATGTCTGTTTCTCCGGTGCAGAGGTTCGGTTGTTTCTCTGCCTTGAGTCGCACACTGTGACATCATTCTAACAGAAATAGAAGAACGGCTTGCCAAATTTAGGACATGCATGAACTTTGTGATTTCATACGTTTTAAATACATTCAAATCTTTAGAAGTCGGCTTGTGAACTATAAAAGAAAAGAACATGACTTCCTTTTTCCAAGAAAAGTGCCTCCCAACGTCTTCTTGGACATCACATTTCCTCCACAAAACCAGACTTCAATGAGCTAAGTGTGAGTAAATTAGAAACATATGTACCAAATTGTCTCTGGGTCTAACTGCTATAAAGGAAATGCTCAAATCCTCTAACAATAAATATAACAATCTGAAGCTTTGGGTACACATTAAACCTGCTTAAACACTCGTAATTCAACACCTTTATGAGAGTGTAACTTACTAGTATGCACCAATTCTAACACTTAGCGCTGTGTCGTTAGTTCTTCTTAAAACCAAGTCTAAATGCAATTTAAGGTAAGATATTCCTTTGTAGCAGTTCCTCCAAGCAGCTAAGTCACCTCAGAATGAGAAAATAAATAAAAAAAATACGAACACAAACAAAATGCCAAACTCAAAGTGGGGGGGGAAAGTCATACTTTTGATCTGGGCATTTCCATTTAAGCTTTTCTGAAAGGTGAGACAGGAGGGATAGTTTTTATATCAGAAATGGCTATCAGAATTCTTTTTATGTTTGTCTTACAGAAGCTGAAATTGATTTATGTTTGATAAATAGCACGCACTACAATGCAAATACAGAAGAAATCTATAACACATTGTAGCTAAATATCAACACTTTATCAACCCCTCCACACATCTCCTAAGTTGTCTGCACTCTGATTTATTTTCATGTTATTGGGAACTGATTATAATCGTTTTCATTTGCATTTGAGAATGGTTGTGCTCTGAGAAGATTTACTCTAGAATCTTTACTTTGAGAAGATTTGGAATGACAATAGATGTCACTATCTTTTAAGTATATTTTTATGCATGATCTATAGATCTTAAAAAAATACAAGAAGTTTTAAAATCCATAATTTATGTCTCAATTCTCACTCCATATATTCTTATATCAGCAGCCCCGATATATCATAACATCTTTGACAAACCCTGGGTTCTGTTCACCTTATAAGGCATCTTCTCCAATGGAATGTAGCCAGCCTTGTGTATTTCATCAACCTTCAAAGATCGGTTCTGTTTCAGTGTGGAATGACTGTGTTTTGGCAAGAAGCAGTGAAGTCTTGAGTGCGTAGGGATTTAAAAATCAATCTAATCTTTCGTAACAGCACCAGCAGCCCTTCTAGTTTTAATGTCCCCAAATAATGGAGGATGGTTGTTGAACTGGACATAACAGGCTTAGTAGACTGTTTTCCTAATTGGTGTTTTTTTTCGTCTTAGCTTCAACTCTGGCGTTTTCCTTCTTGATTTGAACACGGCATGTCCTCAAGTGGGAGCCAGAGGAACTTGAGAGTCCCAGCCTTTGCTCACGGCTGTGCAACCTGGGCTTTGTCGAGACAGTATTGCATTACCATGATATTTAAGGAGGAAAAAGCAAGTTGCTCTGAATTGTGTCAATCTCACTTGTGATCTATTTTTGAACAATGTACTAGAAAGATATTCCCGTTCACACAGAACTAGTGATTTACCCTCTGGTGGATTCTACCCTTCCAGCTGCTTGGTGATAAATAAAGCCAGAGCGGAGAGAGTGTAAATAAAAATTAACTGCACCCAATCGGCTCCCCAATGCTTTCATTTATGCATGCTTGTGTGATGAGGTACTTTTCAAGTCCTCTTAATTGCGATATAAAATAAGGCCTCTGGTAATCAAAAGTTCTAAAAAAAAAAACTGTTCGGAGGGAGGTTGTCCACCTTGGTTGTCCTCAAATTTTTCTTGTTGGTTTTTCACTTCCCAACCTCATTGCCATTTCAATACCTCCAGGATACATGACACCACGCAAACCTGGCACTGCCATGGCCAGACAGAGAATACAGGAGCTCTGATCCTCCCACCTATACTTACCATAGTGCGGAAACTCTCCTGTCTCTTTTACCAAGCCAAGACAGTGTTAGACAGCCTTCAAAGAAGTGCTTTAACAATTGAGAGAGAAATACATACAGAGAGAGAAAGCAACAGAGACAGACAAGCAGATATACACATATGCACATACAGAGGGAAGGAGACAAAGCTGGAGGGGAGATGATGGGAAGAAATAGAGAGACCGATATAAGAGACAGAGAAATGGAGAGAGACAGATACATACTAGAAAGGGAAAAACAGAGAGGAATAGAGAGAGAAAAATGGTGAGAGCAACAGAGAGGGAAAGAAAAGCAAAATAGAGCAGCAACATAGTTACACACTATGAATTCCTCAAACAGTGAGTACCCATGCGTGTATTTGGTCATCACTATTTACTGGTTTATGGGTGTCTGTCTGTCACTTTCCTTTGTCCTGAGTGGCTTGCTGTGGACCTAGTCTCTATTTGGCTCTCGGGCTGGTGATCCTCTCTGTCAGGGAAATTTAGTGGCTCCGCCCCTCAGCTCTGTGTGTCTAGCGACTTTGGGCCTTGAAGCTGGAGACTTTCCTTTGTATAATAATATCTGCACCACAGCAGGTTTCTCCTGTCACTGGAGGCAGAAAACAGCTCTTGCTTTTTCAGTGTCCGTGGGCAGTAACTGGCTGCCCTTTCAGTTCCGGATTTCCATCTAAGATGTCCTAATTTTAAACAGAACAAACGACACTTGCAGCACCCAACCCATCAGGAAATCCTGTCTCTGCCTTTGGAAGATCCAGAACCTCATGAATTGTCACCATTTCTCTGCTACTCACCACTGCAGCTGGAACCACCATCCTCTGTCACTGGATTTGCACATGTGCCCTTTGGGTCCCTGCTCCACAGCCTGCCTCCTTCAGGCTGTTCTCACCCCAGCAGACGGAGAGTCACCATGCAAGCCAAGCACAGGTGCTCACTTCGGCAGCACAGCTACTAAAACCAGAACATACAAAGAAGAGGAGTTTGGTGCCTGCATAAGGATGACATGGAAATGAATGAGGCATTCCATATTTTTTATGAATATACTAAAAGCGACTGAATTGCAGGCATGGAGGAGAACACATTTTCCGGCATGTGAATTATATCTCAGTTCAGCTACCGTAGACTGAATAAACAAAAGCAGATCATGCCCATTCGCTGCTCAAAACTCTGTAGTGGTTGTTTATTCCATTCAGAGTAAATCTATGTTCTTAAAAAAGCAAAAAAGCCAAAAAGCTTCCTGTGATCTAACGCCCTCCACCCCCATCATTTACAATCCGACCCTTGCACTAGTTATTTTTTAACTTGCGTCAGTCAGATGCCAATTTGCACTGTTCCAGGAATGTGGCAGGTACCTACCACCTCAGCTGTCCCCGCGTTTAGAACCCTGTAAAGACAGGTGGACTCGCGTCCCCAAAATTTGGTTCAATGTTGAAAGCAATGATGCCACACACACACACGCGCGCACGCACACACACACACACACACCCCAAGACAGTGTAACAAGGTATATTTACGTAACAGGAGAACAGGGTGAACTTCTTAAACAGGTTTCGAATGGTGTGAAAGAGCAAGGAAAGGTGCATAGCTAGAGGTTTAACCGTGGTGGGCAGGTGGGTGGGGTTGGGTAAAGGTGCCCAGAACGGGGGTCTTGTGTGATCTGAATGTCCTGCCACTGTCGACGTGGGAGCACTCGGGCTTTCTTCTCAGCTTGCCCAGATGTAGGACAAGCTGAGATGAGGACCAGGACCAACATTTGTCCAATGCGGCTTAAATGTTTTCAAGCATCAGAAGATGGAGTCAGCGTCTTTATCACACAGCTATTTGCTAAAACCTCAGGAGCTCAGTAAGTCCTGAACACACCCTGCAAAATTCCCCTTCATCCCTCACTGGTTTCTCCCCCATCTGTGTTCTTGGCTTAGTGTTGACTTTTTCACACATCACTGGTCACCTTCTCATGCGTCCTGTCATTTTCTTAAAATATGCAGAATTTGCTGTCAGGATTCTCCCGACTCCTCTCCTGACCTGCTAAAAATCAGCTGCTTGAGGGCAGGGGGCTTTGTTCCAAATGCAGATGAATCGTTCGTGTTGGCTGCAGGCATGGCACCCAGTAGACGATCCGTAGGTACACACCGAGTGAATTCAGATGCTTTAGAAGCACTTGACATCCACTCTATAACCCAGTTCTACAGGTCGGTGCAACAGTAACTACATTTTTTGCCATTAAAAAGTAATGGCAAAAAAACCACATTTACTTTTCCACCAGCCAATCGTTGCCAAATTCTCTTCGGTGGCTCACCTTCTCAATAATTTTTTAACCTGAATCTTAGCCCTTGGAGCTATCAGAATTTTACCAGTGGTTAAGGTATTAAAGCAATATCATGCATATGAGAAGTAAATTAGACATTTATATCAGAAATAGTAATGATCTCTGACAGCTAGAATTATTATAGTTACTGAAAAGCTAGCTTGATTTTGAATGTCTGCTCAAGGATAAGTCATTAAGTTGTAATTGTAAAAGTCTATTGAAATTTTTAAGTGAGACACGATGACCGAGGCAGTGTTCTAAGAGGCTGTGAGGTAAGGCGGGGAGTTGAGTTCTAGTCTGTTTCTACCACTAATTAACTCTGAGTTATTTCATCCACTACACTGAACAATCTGTTGCTATAATAGGACTAACATAAATGTGATAAGAGTATATTTATTTTCTTATATGCACTGTTAGGGTAACACACAATTAAAGTACCAAGTTGCCCTTTACTTGGCTAAATAAGACATTATAAAAGACCCAAAAACATGCATATAACATGTAATGAAAGCTTTTCACTTTGGTGCATTTAGGACTTGTTTTCTCTGGATTTGTATCTTGCACTGGCTGGAATAACAGTGGTGACTTGGTGCGCCTTTAACTTTACTTTCTGATGTCATGACTTCTCTGAGGATTTTAGGGGTTTGCCATTATGACCGTCTTTTAGAAGTAGAATTTAAAAAGAAAATTCCAGCAACAACACTCCCTATACCTGCAACCTCTTCTTAGAATTTCCCTCCACTTCTCGGCATTATCTGCAACCAAGATTCATGATAAAGATTCAGCATCCTCGGTAGCCATTTATGCAGGAAGCCACATGTTCTCCTGCATCCCAGTTCCAGAGGTGGGTCTCCTGTCCTCCCTGATGCTCAGTGTCACCTTCCACACTGATCCCCAAAGCTTCCACTGCTCTTTTGAAGTTTATGGCATCTGGTTTTTACAGATTTTAGAGGTTCTACTTTTTCTGTCATCAAGTAAGCTTCAGCTCATTTCTTCTATTCTCCAAAAACTTACTTCCTAATTATTTAGACTCGCCATCTCAACACTTCTTTTCATTCTTAGAGACTGCAGTGCTTTTGCCATGACTCTCCGAAATGTTGCACTATCTGTTCCTTCATGTACTTATCACCATGACTTTGCTCTAATACTTCTGCGCCACCGACATATAGGAGTTACCTGAATCTGCTAACACTCTGATGTGAATAATCCAGTTGTCCCATTCCCCGATCATCTTCACCTCTTATTGCTTTGCTTCCCTTGCTTAAGTGCAACATAAAAAAAAAATGCAGCCTTATACAGACCTTTTATTTTCTCTTTATCAGTTCCTTCTGTCTTTATTTCTCTACTCATCTGGTTTATATTGCCAGGGTCATAAATAAATCTATCCCCTCGGAAATATTCTCACTTCCATTCCCTCCTTTTCCTCCTAGAAACACTTTAACCCTAGATGATTCAGAAAGCTGTCTTCATTGTGCCTGTAAAGACCAATACTGCATAACATCATTAAATTTGGCAGCAAAGTGTCATCATGTGTTCATAAATTTCAAAGCAAAATGGTCAATCAATTTTATATTATGGTCAGCTAACCCTCACAGGCTTCCCATGCTATTTCATAATATGTCTCTTTTTTTTTCCAAATTTTCTACTTCTCTTCCCTTGGGTTATGATTTGTTAGTGACTTTGCCATCTGACCAGAGTTGTGTTTTTCTTCTGTCACCAAATCTGCAAGTCTTCTTTCACCTACGCTTATTTTCATCTTTAGTTTTTAATTGTACAAGTATACGATGGTAGCAAATGTGGAATCACCTTCTGTGATGAATTAAAAATGTTCACTAGGCAATTATTACATCCTACACTTTTTAGGATCTGGGGCATAGTAGTAAAAATGGTAGATTAAATTTCCTTTCACATTGAAATTTTATTCCAGTGGATGAATGAACAGATAAGTAACTAAGATATTAGATAATTACAACTAAGATATAGGTATCTACTTTCTCGGCAAATTTCAGTACACAATACAATGTTACTAACGGCATTTGTTGCCTGTTTATCTCGTGGTATACATTCTCTTTCCAGACATTCATCTGAGATAACTGCATCTTTTCACCATCCCCTAGTTTTCATGTCTCTTTAGTCTCCATCTATCTGGGAGAATTTCTTCAGATTTCTTTGTGTTTTGTGACCTTGACACTCTTGAATAGTACTGGTGAGTTATTTTGTAGATTGTCCCTCAATTTCAACGTATCTAATGGTTTCTTATGATTAGATTGAGGTGATGAGTACCAGCAGTTCTTTATAGCAGTGTAAAAAAGGACTAATTCACCCACCACTGTGCCGTTCCTCAGTTCTCGAGGTCCTGGCTCTGCTTGATTTCTTCTCTCCATTTCTTCTTTAAAGTCTTCATGTAAAAAATATATATGCATATGGTTCAAGATTTTTAGTTACACTTAGAAAGAAAAAGAATAACTGCTCTATTTTTCCTATAAGCAAAATGCTAGTAGAAGCAGAAACCTATTTTCTAACTGAAAGAAAATTTTTTTGGTATTTTTGAGATTGTCTTAACTTTGCAACTTACCTTTTCATAGAATTAACAGGTGTTTAATGTTGAGTGTTTCTATTTGATAATATGAAGTGCTTTTCTGTTTGTTCAAATCTACGTTTGTGCTTTTCAGGGATGGTTTTAAATTTTCTTCCTGTTACTTTTTACATTTTGCAAAGTTTATTAGCAAGTTCATTAAGCTCGTTTTCAAGGAAGAACTGTCATTAATCAAATTGTAAATTGTGTACTCTCTACCACTCTATCTTTTTAGCTTATTATTGTTTGCAATATGAAAGCTATTACTTTATAATACTAAATTCTTTTATTGTTTGGGATCGCTTTATCATTGCTTATAGAATTTTCTAGTTATATTACTGTATTATTTGCATAGATAGACTATTTTGCTTGCTGTTTTTATCAAAAATTATGCCTCTGGTTAAGTTATTTTACCTAATTTCATTGACTAATTCCTCTGGTACATTGTTAAACAGTAATGCGGCTACAGTTTTTCAGGAATAGGATCTAGCTGATATATGAGGAATTAGAATAATGCCCCCATGAAATCATCTGGCCCTAGTGAGGTTTTAGTTTTTCACTTGCTTGCTTTGCTTTTGTATAGTTCCTGGAATACATTCTTTGTAGAAATTAATGTTTACATTTTCTGTGCTTAATTGAGTCAGTTTTGAGATGCAGGTGAGCCATGCACTAAATAGCTTCCTTGCCACTGATTCTTTCTGAACTTGCAGGGACCACCTGTAGGCTGCGATATGATGGTTCTGGTGACCATGATGACAAGGAGAATGAGTCATATTTGAGCGCGATGACTGCCAATGGAATGCACTGCTGTGCACCTGTTCCTAATTGCCAGGACTCTAGTGTTGTGCTTCCTAAGCAAAATCTTTGCTTTTCAAGCTACTTCATTATTAACTCAAGCAGCGTTACTAAAAATGGGGGAAAGAACTTCTCTTACACACTGTGCTTGACTTTTATTTTGAAAAGCTGTCACAATAAAATTATTTTACTTCATTCCTTTTGGTATTTTATCTTCTAAGTTCTTCTAATGATTCATAAAATTCTGCTAACATTTAAGATAATATTTTCTTCTCTTATGCATGAATTCATTGTTCCTGATTTGGATAATATGGTGCAATGTTTACAGAGCCTTCCAATATCCTTCACTCTGATTATG